TTCTACATATTATTCAATAGCATTTTTCTATATTGGAATATGTTTTACTCTAATAGTAATAGAATTTTGTCTTTATAAATGTAATTATACTTCAGTTATCTTATTTCCAAAGTAATTGTCAAATTTATTTAGTGATTAAATTAAAAATATATGCATTACAAAAAGGAAGACTAGTTAACTGTAATCCCTCAACTCAGAGGCAAATGTTAATATTTTCTTGTTCTTTTTCTTTTAGTCTTTCTAACATAAACATTATTTTTTTTCACTTAATATAGTGGTATTATTTATATGTTATATTCATCCTTAATAATATATTTCATATATTAAATAATGTATTTTATCATATCATTAAATATTAATCTATGACATCTCATTCTCTGTTGCTATTTCTATCTTAAACCAGTCCCTGATTGTTATTTTAGATGTGTCCTGGTATTTTACCTTAAAAAACACCTGTAACAAAGAAAACTTTTATAGCAAAATCTTCAGAAATTTGTTTAATTATTTATATGAATTTATCAACCTACTTCACAAATTTCCATTTAAAAACTAAAATATCAATTTACTGAGATTCAAGATACTAGTCCCATTCCACCATCATTATTTAACTCAGTAAAAAAAAAATTTCTAAATTTTTCTAAATTTAAAAAAATTCCTCAATTTTTCCACCTACTAAATGTTTTTAACCTCTACCCCAAAGTATTTCATTGTCATGCATCTGCTTTTGGTAAAGTAAAAAAGATTCAACATATCACCAGAATACAAAATATATCATTTCAAGATGATATTGCTATGCTTTCAAAACTTTTTTGCTTTCAAAACTTTCACCAAACAAATCAACTTTGTCATGGCCCTGTTTGAAATGAGAATAGAGTAAAAGCTATAATACAAGTTACACTAATTAGGTATAATTTTCTGCAGTGTTAGACTCTCGAGAAGATAAAGACACTTCCTTTTGGCTAAGCACTCCTCCAATCATCTCCTATGAAGGCAGCTGGGAGAGACTAGCTTCCTCGTTCTGTATTATGGATACTACACATGGAGAAATATAAGCACATTTCCTTCTCAGATAATAAAATTCCATTAAAAGATTTATTTCTGAGGCAGAAGTTTAAAAGAAATGACCGTGGGATATTCACATTCTTATAAACAATTTCCATGTCCATGAGAAGGGGCCCATCTCCCTGTTATCCTGATATCAAGAATCTCACAAAACTCATTTGTACTGCTCATAACTATGGGTTCCGTGGGGTTTTCAGCCCATGCTTTCCCAACAAATGAGCTTTTTCATTTGTTCCTAATGACTTTGGTTTATACAAAGAGATCTTAAACTGTCCCCAGAGCAATCATTTTGCTAAAATGTTATTAGAACATCTTTACAAATTTAGCAACAAAAGGGGCTTCATTAACAATGGAAATCATCGGGAACCAAGGCCCTTAGCAAATTCGGTGCTCACCAGTCTTGTTTTATTTTCAGCAACGAGTACAATAATGTTGTGAACTATCCACTGACTCCTTAGCTGGTGGGTGGGTAAGGAAGTTGAGGAGTGGATGCCATGGGAAGCGATGCTCGAAAAATCCGGACGGTATTCTCCGGTTAATCGGCTCTGTCCTTGCTCTTGGAAGGAGACCTGTAAAGCCGAAGCAGCGCGTACTCATGGCATCTGCTAATAGAGTCATTTCTTTCCTGAGAGTTTGGGGATTTGCAGACGAGACTGAGGGCTGTTTTTCAAAGGACCATCCGCAGGATTGAGATTAAATATGTAAACATATGTGTGTCTCATTTTTCTAGTAACCAAATTTGATTCATCTGCTATGCACAGAGGGCCAGCTGCTGAAAAGCCTGAAAGTTGACCTGCAGCTTCTGGCAGAGCAAATCCAAATTATGGGATTTTTCTCTGGGTTTGACACTGCAGCTTGAGATCCAGAATCAGCCCCTATTCTGGGCAGCTTTGAGTTTAAAGGCCTCCATTGCCCAGAATAACTTCTGCTACATTCCTTCAGGGTGGTCTCTCTGTCATTTCATCCAGCACTTTATTGCTGAGTGCCCTTTTAAGATTTTTTTTCTTCTTGCTGTGTGTATGGCCAGATTGCCATAGAGCAGTTCCTTCAGTACACCGCTAGCCTCTGTCCTTATGCTGGCCCAGAGGCGGCATTTTAACAAGTACCAGTTCAGTGCTAGGGAGCACTGAGGATACTTATTGTTGGAAATCTGGTCTCACCAACATTACATATTTCTCAAAGACGACTGATTAAACTGTGTATTAGAAAATTAACTTAAAAAAAAGATTAGCGGCGACCCTATGGCCAGTTGAGCACTGAGAAAATGATAGGTTGGATGTGTCCATATTACTCTGACTACTACTACTATTAAAACCCAACATATCAGGGGCACCTGGGTGGCTCAGTGGGTTAAGCCTCTGCCTTTGGCTCAGGTCATGATCCCAGGGTCCTGGGATTGAGCCCTGCATCAGGTTCTCTGCTCAGCAGGGGGCCTACTTCCCCCCCCATCCCACCCCCCACCTGCCTCTCTGCCTACTTGTGATCTCTGTCAAATAAATAAGTAAAATCTTACAAAAAAACAAAAAACAAAAAACCAACAACCAACGTATCATACTTTTGTTGTCATTAGCCATCTCTAAGCTGATAAAAATGGGAAAGACTGTCTTGTACAGATCATCTTGGATCTCAGTTTACTATATCGTGGTGATAGAGCAAAATATCCTCTCTCAGAACAGAGTCCCCTCACTTGCAAAAAGAAATGTATAAGGCAGACATCATGATATTATTATATAGACTAAATAAAATGTGTAACTTGAAACATGGTATTGCCCAGAGGTGTTATTTTCTACCTCCTGTGCTCCTCCAGCCAGTACCCAGGGCTTTGGAGGGACAGTCCTTTTATTCATTTGTATGTGCCTCTTAAACAGTTCTGCATCAGCCAACAGCATCTACTGAATAATGAAATATGGACTATTGCTGATATATGGCAGTCAAGTTGTTTCTAAGGAATATAGTTTAGTATCTGGTGGGTTTCTTTTTCTTTTTCTTTTTCTTTTTTTTTTTTTTTTTTTTTTTTTTTTTTGCATTTTCCTTATTTCTGTATGCTTTTTCTACTGGAAACCATTGATATTGGAGATGCATTTCATAGGCAGTAACAAACTTGATTCAATGGACTCTATCTCTATATTCTCTTTAATACATTAATAACTTAATGACTCTCTGTTAGAGCTAACGTTAAGAAAATGTACACTGAGAAAAAAAGGAAAATATACATTGATTGATGAGCTGATGATTTCAGTAGACATTTTATTGTTTTTTCTTGCAAATTTTTTTGTTGACTGCTTGGCTAAAGTCATAACTTTTATACAGTGTTTTGCTCTGTAACCTATAATATTTGAAAGAAAAGACTCATCCTCCTTTCGAGCTGTTGATTTAGAGAAAAAAAATGAAGTTTCTTCATTTTCTTATTATCGTTAGTAAAGATGGAGGCATATTTGTAATCCTGTATTGCATCTACCATGATTAAATGTGGCAGCAATGTTTTCTGAAGCTCTGGGCTGATGTCTGTGTTCTTTTGTTTAAAACAAAACAAGCAGAGCGCTTGCCTTCTAATACCGCAAAGACAAAAGGCTTTAGTCAGCAAGATTAAAGTAACTTTTGTCCTAACACTCCAGATCACTTACTTCTAGAAAGAGACAGAATAATATAGTTTTAGGCATTTCTGGGAACAATTAATTTTGTACGATTCTTCTAGCAAATCTCAGCATGTGGTATCCTGAAGCCCAATGCTCCATATTCTGAGTGTCCTACGTCCTCCGTAGCTGCATAACAGAGCCAGATGAAGCATCTTCCCGGTGATCATTCAGATACTTCCTCCTGTTTTCTAAATAGCCCTTCAACCATAGCAATGTTTTAACCATCAGTCAAGATCCTAAATCTTTAGAAGAGAGGGTTTTTTATCTTGCTATCCAGAAAAAAACACCTCTTATCAGCCACATTCAAGTTACAAGTAAGAAACTTAAATAGTGGATCACTGAATATGACACAAAGCAGAATATATTTTTTTGACTTTTTGTAAGTATTCTAGTGTACTTTCAGGGAAGTCAGTTTTTTAAAATGTGGCATATATGCTGAGACTCGAGAGGACAATATTTAGTAGAAAATTGCTATGGTGAGTAAACATGAGCATTTATAACTTATAAATAGTCAAGAGTAATTAAATCCACTCACACTTTCCCACCATAATATTTATTTTGGAGTCCAAGTCAAAATTTAGTCTATTTTTATAGTCACTTTTGTAAATGTAGGGAAAAAGACATTTTTTTCTCAAAATTTATTACTTTATGTTTTATCTGTTTATTATCTCTATCAGTAATCTTCTACGTTCTGCAATGTGAAGGCCTATTTGAGAAAAATAATTTTAGGGACACCTGTCCATGATTTTAGGAGAGATGTTTGTTTTATTCAAATTAGTCTCTTCAATCTGTGCTTCCTTGCCATTCTTGGGTCTACCAATTATGAGAGCAAAATCTTTGATAAGTGTATTAATGTTGGTGGAACTATAAGCATCCTGCTTGCATTGTTTCTTTAAGCCTTTGTATTCTGACTCTTTTTAAGATTGTATTTATTTATTTGACAGGGAGTGGCAGAGGGAAAGGGAGAAGCAGGCTCCCCTGTGAGCAGGGAGGCCTCATGAGACCATGACCTGAGCCTAAGGCAGTCATTTAGCCTACTGAGCCACCAGGCACCCTGTGACTTTGGTTTAAATATAGTTTCAAGAATAGAAACAAAACTTGCATTCAAAATACATTATTTTGCATCATTCAATTGCCAATTTTTAAAATCTTGTTACTATATAGTATTATTCTCTTTCAGGTAAAATCTGATTAACAAAATCATCTTTTTAAAAACTGACTGTAGTAAAGCAACATCTGTCTTTAGTTTCAATGCTATGAAGCATTTAATTAACAGAAAACCACCATGGGTTGCTTCTTTAGAATACCACTAAATGTTAGAGACATCGTCTACTGTACAGGAGTTTCACTACTAGATGAGGATGTCTGGGAATTCATATGGATGAAATTCCACTCCACTACAGCAGTTTCTGAGAAGAAAATATTATTGGAAGCCTTAACTTGCAGTGATGACAGGAACTTATTAAATAGGTGAGTCAATTAATTTTCTAAATTTATTTGTGTAATGAGAGTACTCTCAGTTAATCAAAGTACACTGAACTTGATTTTATTTCCTTGAATATAAGCTAGTTACACTAGGATATATTTTCTACAGCTAAAGAAAACTGCCGTATTGACATGACTAACGCTAATTGAATTGAAAGAAATACCTTTGTTTCTCACTATAAAGATTTTTTAAGTGAGTTGATAGCATCAGAACAAACTTGTGATTTCTTCACCAGCAAGATTTTTTTAAATTTAATTAATGAGCTAATTAAAATGCTATGAATTTGCTCTTCCCCCTTTTAAAAACAGAAAATTGTTCTGTTGATAAGTTGTATTGGTAGTTTACACAGGACTGTTCTTCTAAAGAATATGACAAATTAAAGCGTGTAATTTTTGTAATTTTATAAAAATTTTTAAGTTATTGGGCTAAAAGCTTTTCTACAATTCTGTCCTTAAAGGCTTCTGAATCTATCACTGAATTCTGAGGTGGTATTAGATCAAGATGCAATTGATGTGATAATCCATGTCGCTCGAAATCCACATGGCCGAGACCTTGCCTGGAAGTTTTTCAGAGATAAATGGAAGATATTAAATACCAGGTAGAATAAGAGTTCAATCATTCAAACCTGAGTGAGTAAATTAAAGGTGACATAGTAGAGATAAAGACCCAACTTTTTGTGTTAAAACTAAGGTCCAGATAATAGAATTGGATTTTAAAATAGCCAAGTTGAGTGTTGCCACTCCTGTGAAACTCAGAATTATTTTAACGATTCTATAGTATTATTCATGTAATAAAGATTAAAGACTGTGATTATATATGGAAATGTGGGAGTAAAATGTTTAGCAGTACAACGTTTGTGGAAAATCTATTAAGTTGTCTAAGGTTGAAGAAATATCATACAACTGTATTCTGAATGTGTTATAGAAAAAATGATTTATAAATCAGATATAATTATTATATTACATAACAAGAAAATTTAACCTCTGCTAGAATTGTTTTTAAATTTTCTTTATATGTAAATATCATAAAACACCTGAAATAAAACCAAGATATAGAAAAGGAACATTTGAATCATTGTATAATCCTAGTTTCAATAGAATTCATTCCTGAGACATCTTGTTTCATGATGAGACTTTTTCAGCCTCAATTTAGGAAAATGTTTCATTATGTATTCAAATATATTATAATAAATGTTGATTTATTACTCTGATAATCTCTATGGCATTTTAAAATTTAATTTATTATAGAGCATGTAGATGCTATGTGTTCTCAAACTTAAATGTCCCCAAAAAGTGACCAGACCTCTTGTTCTGTCTATTAAAAATTGGCGTGTAAACTTCATGTTTTTAAGGTACATAGACCTTTCTCAGTCGCCCTTGTATAAAGGGTTCCATTTGAATGGATGTGTCCTGTTAAAACACAATTCTATCTACAAATATTTCGTCAGAAAGTGCTGATATTCCTAGAAGACATATTAGCTTTCTTGTATTTGCAGCTCAGAAATTGGAATGATTGGAAGATTAGAACTTGCTTTGCTCTCATGTACTATAATATAGTGAATAGTCAGATACAAGGTGAAATTAATATATCGGAGCATTTCACTTTAAAAAGTGTCAAATATCTGCCAATACACAGTCTGTGTAGGGAGTGGTTTTGTCTATCAGAGTTCAGCATAGTGGGCATGTATAGTTCAGTCCCAACCAAAAAATGTTTGGTTCTTACTATGCTTATTTTGTATCACTTGAGAGTCCATGGTCGCTAACCAAAAGCTAAAAAGGTTGAGATTTGGAAATGTTTAAAATCTTGGCAAATAGAACTGTCTTCTTCATTAGCTTCTACTGCTCTAGCAGTCCTTAAACACTGGAGTTCATGGAAGTGCTGTCCAAGGTACTCTATCTTTTGCAGATTCTCCCTGCTTTTAATTGCCATCTATTCTAATGGTTTCAATTGCTCCCAAATCTAGATCTCTTACTCAAACATTTTGTCTAAGCTTCACTCTATGATAGACAGTTGCCTGTTTGGAACACCCTACTGAGGTGTACCTGCAAAGCTAAACCTATCATTATCCTCTTGTCTTCCTTTCCTCAGTAAATATTATGGCCATCCACCAATTGCTCAAGCCAGACACTTGGAAAACTACAGATACCCCCTGGTCATGTATGACAATTAGGCTTGAGATATTGTCAATTTAACAAGTCCTAAAAGAAAGGTGCCACAATGCTGTAAGGGAAGCATTAGAAAACCTCTTATAATGGGGGCTGAACCTTTGCTTCCAAAACCTCAGAATCTTTTTTATCTTAATTCTGAGAGTATGGTAGTCTGTGATAGGTATCCTTAGCACAACAGAGATAAATCAATAAAATGAGAATCCTTTCCAACTCACCAATACAAACTGCTCCTTACTGTGGGTCACGAGTCAAGAATTTATGTCTGTGGCACAAGGATTATGCAATCCAGGTGAACAACTAAATACTTCAATTTAATGTCTATATGAAAACATACTAATATTTGGGAAGCATTTCAAAGAAATTTGGCTCAGTTTCTAAGCATGAAAAAGGAGAATGCCAATGTCAGTTGTGACTGACTAGACCAAAGGATCTGTGTGACATACTGTTAATGCCCAAGTTTGTCTTATACTCCTCTTTCTTTTGTTGGGATTTCCTTTTTTTATTTTATTTTTTTCTTATAGTGAACTAGGTTGCTTTAAAGTTGAAAGTTTTAAAATATTTCTTCCTCAGGCCTTAGATCGAAAATATAACAATAATTCCTAAATCTAATTTTAGAGGATTCCTTTTTTTTTTTTTTTTTTTAATGTACTACAACATAGACCTCCCTGAAACATTTTGAGCCAAATCAGGTGGCATCTAATGTTATTCTGCAGTCACAGATCTTTGCACCTCCCTCGCTCCCTGGAGAAATGACCTTGAAATGGTCTGACATCTTAATGGAAACAAGATAACATTGGTCAAATGGTGCCCTTGAAAAGGATTCTTAAAAAAAAAATCTGAAGAGTAGGATTTCTTAAATTATTGCTTATATAACATCAAGACTTTTTTTTTCTTTTTAAATCTTTCTAGGTATGGAGAGGCATTATTTATGAATTCCAAACTCATTAGTGGAGTTACAGAATTTCTTAATACCGAAGGTGAACTCAAAGAGGTAAATATTTTAATACAGGAGTTCTAATGATTTTCTTTTATAAATATATAAAATTATACATTTATTTTAACCACTTTTTTTCTGACAGACTCATATCCATTTCTTTAAAAAACACACGTTCATGCTAAAGACTTGACTTACTTCATTATTTGCAAAGGTATTTCTATTATATTAAACATGAAATGCCTTGGGGGGCACCTAGGTGGCTCAGTCGGTTGAGAATCTGACTCTTGGTTTGGGCTCAGGTCATGATCTCAGAGTTTTGAGATCCCCTCTTGGGGCTCTATGCACTCAGTGCAGAGTCTACTTGTCCCTCTTCCTCCCCCTCTGCCCATCCCTCTGTGCCCCCGCACATGTGAATGCTAGCTTTCTCTTTATCAAATAAGTAAATACAATCTTAAGAACAGACAGACATAAAATGCCTTCAAGAGGTGTTTGAATATAATGATTCTCAAACTCCAGGACTCCAAATCCACTCCCAGTATCTTTGATCCAATCCGCTGCTCCTGGGCTGATGATGTGAACCCAGGTTGGGATCCTAGAAATAACAGAACCATCCTGTCACAATGACTCAGCATTTGGGTACAAAGGATCAAGGATTATGTTAAGATATAGAACTTGAGTCTCCCTGCTTCATGTTCAGGCGGATTACAGGGTGTGGATCACCAGGTGTGATTATAAAGCTTCGTGCTATCTAGTCTGTTCAGTGGAATGAATTTAGTGTATGAAAGAGGATATATCTGGCAATATATATTGAGATTAATAGTTTGTTGAAAATTCTGCTTGATTTAATCATACATGAATTTCATTAAAGAAAATAAACAATTCTTTTTTTTTTTTTTTTTAAGATTTTATTTATTTATTTGACAGGCAGAGATCACAAGTAGGCAGAGAGGCAGGCAGAGAGAGGAAGGGAAGCAGGCTCCCTGCTGTGCAGAGAGCCCGATGCGGGGCTCGATCCCAGGACCCTGGGATCATGACCTGAGCCGAAGGCAGCGGCTTAACCCACTGAGCCACCCAGGCGCCCCAAAATAAACAATTCTTTAAGGACTAGTGTCTGGTTTAGAGTATATCTAATGTTTCTTTTTTTTTTTTTTTTCCTGGTTTATTTCTCTGGAAATTTAAACCAGCTTTTTTTTTTTTTTCCCCCTAGCCTTTAACTCACATTTGTAGAAGAGGGGGTGTGAAATGGGGAGGGATAAATATGTAGGAGGGAGGAAAAACATATAGATACTTTAAAACAAATTTTGTTTAAGATTTTATTTATTTATTTGAGAGAGAGAGAATGAGAGAGAAAGAGAGAATGAGAAGTGGGAGGGTCAGAGGGAGAAGCAGACTCCCTGCTGAGCAGGGAGCCGGATTTGGGACTCAATCCCAGGACTCCAGGATCATGACCTGAGCTGAAGGCAGTCGCTTAGCCAACTGACCCACCCAGGCATCCCGATACGATTTTTTTTTTTAAGATTTTATTTATTTATTTGACAGAGATCACAAGTAGGCAGAGAGAGAGTCAGAGAGAGAGGGGGGAAAGCAGGCTCTCCGCTGAGCAGAGAGTCCGATGTGGGGCTCGATCCCAGGACCCTGGGATCATGACCTGAACTGAAGGCAGAGGCTTTAACCCACTGAGCCACCCAGGTGCCCCTAGATCCTTTTAAATGATTCTGATGAGCTGGGCTTCAACCATCTACTTTTTTTTTTCTGCTGCTTCACTCCATTACAAAGGATAGCTGAGATTCGGCTTTGACAATCATGGCTTCCTTGGCTCTCACTCATCGGATATCTGGGCTGTGACCCAGAACTAAACATATCCAGCAGCATTTCCCCAGAAGCATCACCCTGGCACTATCCTTAACATCTTCTAATAGTGCCCGGTGTTGTACGATCATCCCACATGCACTGACTTGGATTCTTGCACGTGACGAGCTAAGCTAAGCTAAGTCTCTGATTGTAATGATTTGAAATTCAATTTTTATCCCTGCTGTGTGTTCCCAACCCTAAAGGATTTGGTTCTGAAAGCCCCAGCCCATGTTTTACTAAATTTTTTTAATAAAGGAAGCTAAATGAGAAGGACTCCTTTCATATCCATATGAAACAATGAAAGAACAATTAAATGAATGATTGCTTCCAATTTTCTCTGTATTTAAATGAAGTACTTTTAATTTCTTGATTTTACATTCAACAATCAGTGAGTAAAAGACTCATTTAGTCACAACCTATGAAGCCATTGAAGTGAACACAGAAGTGAAAAATCTCTTCTACTCTTTCCTTCCCCTCCTCCTTCTCTCTTGTAGCACCCTTCCTTCTCCTGTCTTCTCCCCAGTATTCTCTGCCTTTGCCTCCTTTCCTGCTGCCTCACTTCTGTTCCCGCTTCCTTTTCTTCACCCTCAAACTCTTGTCGGTCTTTCCTACTTTCCTTGTTTCAGGTATACCCAGGCGCTGGGAAAACATCTTTTAAATGGATATTTATTTGACTTTATTGTATGCTGACCGTTTTGTTTTACTTACTTCACACATATTTTTAATATTTTTCCACTTGATTTAATTGTCATCTGAAATGTCCTTGTAATGAAAAGTGCAGTTTCACACTTGAAACTAAACTGTGGTTTTTATTCCATTATCTACACAGCAGCTAACCTCACACCGTCTGGCTGTGGCATGAGCTAGGAATCGCTTCCTGACAAGGCAGCTTGTGCTGACTTTCTAGTTTGACAATTGCCCTCTGAGGCTTTTCCATACTTTCCTTACCTCACCATTGTCTTTAAGATTGGGGACCACTGTTGTAGAGTAGGATGGGTGTTTGCTTTGTATTGCTAATTACTCCCTCCTCCCACGCTCATTAATATAAAGCAGGTGAGGAAATTCCAGACTCATCCTCTAATAACCAATGAACCTCACAAGCAGAAAACCCAATGCCCTCCCTTTGGATGTGGGAATATTCTTATTTTCAAGAGTATATATAGATCAAAAGGGAACCGGCATCTTTATGAATTCTGAAAACTCAGCTGAGGTATTAATGACCCCATTAGACCCAGGGGCATTCAGTAGAGAAATAGGAGTAGTTGCAAGGTCCCTTCCCCAAAACTGCATTCTAGTACCTGAAACTGGCAATTTCCTTCTAATTACGAGGCTCTAGCAATTTGAACACTATTTCTCCATGAAACAGTGTGTTATTTCCTTAATTTTAAACTAATGGAAGTACAACCTGAGGAAGCGACAGAAGCCCTTTGCCAGTTTTTCATACTGATGTCTGTTGAGCAATTCTCCCCAGCGCTCCTTTTTCTGCTTCTTGAACCTCATCGGCAGCCCTGTTGTGGAGGAACATAGATCCTGGGCATCACAGACATCCCATTTACAGTTTTAATGTTGAAAATATAAACCTCATAATAGGGCAATAGCTAATTCAATTCATTTATATGGTTACTGAGAGTATATTATGTTTTGCAATTTTCTCTACAAATAATTTATTTTGTGATGTTTAGGGTCTCGGGTACCCTAAAATCAGAGTTTCTTTTTAAATGTGAAAATGCCTTCTAATGGAGAAATTAACAAACATGTCTAGAAATTTTATGCTAAGAACAGGAAGCACAAACAACTCTGACATCTTACTAAATGCTATTTTATAAAAATGTCTAAACTTGCAACATTTTCAAATAAAAGCAGAAGATGGCATAAATATTTAGGAAACACAATAATAAAAGCTAATAACAGCAGAAAATCTACCAAAGAACTGCAGAAATAAGCAAACCGGAATGCCAAGTGTCTTCCATCTACCCTGTGCCCTCTAAAGTCAGGCAAAGGGTCTGGAAGGTGCTATGATCACACACTCCGGGACCTGTTAGATGGCTGCTCTGACCACATGTTTGCCAGAAGAGCTGCAGAGGAATCTGGGCATAAAATCAATTTGTGTCAACCACGGAAAGTGGGCCATATGTGTTCTGATGAATAAGCTACTCCCAAGTTTCATTCAAGTCACCTCAGGCTCTCTGAGCTCATGAGGCTAGTACTTAGTGCACTTAAATAGTGATTTAAGAAATGAATCCCTGGGGACCCACCACTTACATTTTTTACTGATGGTTCTCTTGCAAGATAATCTGACCTCCTGTCTTTGTGTCAATAACACATTCATATTCAAACCCATAGTTTGCCTTTGACGAGGACTTAACTGTTTTACTTCCAGTGTTCAGGCTGGCTTGCTCTGTCTCCCACCAAGGGGCCAAGAACATGCTGTACAAAGTCAAAGTTGCAAGTGGGTCATTTATCACTATCTGGCATATTTAGTACTGCCGAGGAAAGCCTGTAATAATGCAGAATGTATTTTAAGAGCAGCAAATATAATTTTTTCCTGATTGACATATATTATGTAAAGAATACCACTGTAATGAACATATGTGATATATACATGTATGCTGTGATATACGTATTTGTATAATAAAACAATTCAAGACATAGACCATGATGTGCTACAGGAATATAGACTGAATGAATCCAAACATATAAATACAAATGAATTATTGGGTTAATCAGTTAAAGTTTAAAAATATGATTCAGTGTTTCCATTAGACTTCCTTTTAATATATGTGTGCCTGTTACAGGCATATGTGTGTGGCACGGTGCCCTGAATATTGAAGACATTTAGTAAATTCCCATGTCTTCCCTTCTTCCTCTTAGCATGTGTCAATTTGGTAAAATGTCAAACCAATTTTCAGGGTAGCATCAATAAATCTTTGCTATATGTTGGATATTTTACATGTTTGTTATCAAAGCATAGGGATTTTGAAGTCTTATAAAGGATATAGCTCTGCGATGAGGTCATTCATTGCTAATGCCATGGGGCGGGGGCATGGGGCTTTGTAGGAAAGTGGAGGAAAAACTTTGAGAAAACCTATGGGTATCATGTAATCAAAGTAACACTGTCATAAACAAACCGAGCTACCAATGAACCACTTTCTAGATTAACTCAGAAAGATATTAAGAAGTCCATTTTAAATGCCCTTCCCCCTGTCCCTGAGTCAGTCTTGCTGCACTACATTTCCCTCCTGGCATGTCCTCCATGCGGCACCCACCATATGATGAATCACACCCACACTAATTACACCACTAATGTTTCTGTGTTGTAAGCTGATTTTTCACATTTGCCTATTAGCATTGAGATTGTTGGTTGGTTGCCAGTTTCTTAACATATTGAACAGAAAGAAAGACTGCTAGAAAGACTCTTGAAACCAAATCCCTGAGCATTCCCAGAATATGTGAACTCTCTAGAGAAAATCTTATATCCAGAAAAATATTAGCAAAATATCTTAAAATGGTAACTTATTTTAATTAAGTGCTCTAAGTCTCTAGCTAAATGAGTCCACATTTAACTATCTTTCATTCTTTCTAAGCTGAGTCACTTGGGCCACTGAAATGTCATTAATCATCCAGTTTTCATAGCATCGTTACTTTCTTCCCACCACCCAATATCTGGTAATCCTTTGCTGCTAAAGATAGTGTCAACCCCTTATGCTACTTATTTGGGGATGATGAAGAAGATTTGGATCTCTACCAACAAAGAGTGAACTTTAATCCTTATCTTCAGTTTTTGAGGCTATTTGGACATTGGATGTGCTTCGTAATTAGAACTAGCCTTGGCCACAGTCCCATCAACCTATTATGAAAAGATAAATATGTCTGTTTTAATATTTACTTAGGAAACAAGAGGAAAATTTGGAGCTCTTGAAACTGTAATGTCCACTCTTTTTTCCTTCTGGTTCCAAAAGATACTATACCACACTTAATGGGCACAATTGGTTATATTGTATTTCGTTAGAGAGCTTTCTTCCCGTATTAAATATGCCTTCTGTGGTGGCTGCGGCACTTCGTTTCTCATGCAGTCTTGTTTACATACGTTAGACAGGAGTTTGAGGCATGCATATTTACCATTCAAAACTGTTTATTTCCAGCTGAAGAACTTCATGAAGAACTATGACGGAGTAGCTGCTGCCTCTTTCTTGAGAGCTGTGGAAACCGTGGAAGCCAACGTGCGCTGGAAAATGCTTTATCAAGATGAGCTTTTCCAATGGTTAGGAAAAGCTCTGAGACACTAAACTCTCTCTTATAAACAATCCGACTCCGAATTTTGGGAGAAGACCTGCTTTCTATGGAATGAGGAAAATGTGCTATGTAGAAAATGGCCAGATTTTCAGCATTAACGTGTGGGAGGAAAATTTTATTTATTTATTTTTTTGGTTTTGGGGGAATTTTTTGTTTCATTCATTCTGTTTTGTTTCTCTACTGGGTGTTCTTCTCTAAAGAAACTCTTGCAAGTGACACTAGCCATGATGGCCTCAGCTGTACATTCCTCTTTGTACAGGACCAAATATGATAGTAGTGCATGCTGATGTTGCCGTCAGTTTGGAAAAACATATTCAGAATATTTTGTGCATGGTTGTATGGTCCTGCCTGTGTTCAGCATGCTTACTTAAACTGTCTGATGTCGTATGTGTATATATGTTACATCCAGGATGGGCATTATACAAAAGCACAAAGATTATCTATGACAATCATTGTTGCAATGAAAGAAAAACTGAAAAGGAATTCTCTTCTTAGTCCTGGGCAATGTGGGAGGTGAAATAGCCCTTTAAGTGATCATTATCACTTCTTTCAGCAATTGGCTTGTCTTGCAATGATGACTGTGTAGCTAACTCATTTTCTTCGAGTTAAAGCCGTGTATACGTTTAAAAAGGCGTATAGATAGTGTATGCATATGTATATGTACAGAGGGAAGCCCTATATGTATATAGTATGTTGTACACTGCACTTCTGCAAAGAATCTCTTCTAATCAAAGAAACTTTATCTCTTTTTATAAACTTGTGCAAACTTTGAAAAGGCTGAAAAGAATTTATCTCACCACTCTCCACCATTTCCTAACTAAATTTCTCAACTCTTACAGATTTTTTTCATCTACTTCCTGAACAACAGTCTATTCTACTACATGAAAGTGAATTCAAGCAAAATTTGTGTATAAACACTCTTCTAATTCTCCAAAGTGGCAGAAACATATCCTAAATACAGATTCTGTCATCATTCTGGTCAAACTTCCTGTTGCATAAAACAATTGTGCATGTTTAATAATTATCAGTGCTGAGAAAACGTTTCTTTCCCATCTTGTTTGTTTTTCCATCTCATGTTGTGTGGTCCAGAGGGTTAAAAACTTTCTGTGTGTGTGTGTGTGTGTGTGTGTGTGTGTGTTGGTCTTTGTGTCTGTGTCAGTCAAATCCTCCATTAAGTGACGGGACCTCAAGTAGGTCTGATACCATGTAACGACCCTTGGATCCCAGTCGTGCCATCCATTCAGAGGACAGTTATTTTCCTTGGGCAAAGCTTTTTCTTTGGCATTGACAGCTCTCTTCTACCTAGGAATTTTAAATAGCCCTTGCCATGGCTGTCTGTTATGTAACACAAGTGCTTTTAAATGGAATTCTCACCCAGTAGGCCAGCTCTCCAAACATTGCTTAGATGATCCAAAATGAACATATTTTAAGTTTGCCGTTATAAAATACCAACAAAACCACTGGACCCAAGCCAAAAGTTTGTGGACCACTTTTTATTGTCCTGAGGTTTTCCACTCCTCCAAATCTTCTCTCAGATTATTGAGAGAAATAGATTCTAATAGTCACTGAGCACTGGGGGAAAAAATAGGTATTATAGAAACCGGAGCCATAGATTTATTTTGAGTCCTTGTAAAAAGGAGCAATTTCCTAATCCATCAAACAAGTATCACCTACAACTGAATTTTATCTTTTTAACAACTAGTGACTATTACTCATACCTAACATTTTCAGCACTTCATTCAATTAAAACACATGAATTTTAAGGACACTGTGTGGTATTAGTAAGACATAGTAATAGTAGAAAATCTAAGTCATTCTGCTGATCAGAAGTCGTGAAATTTAACTAGTGCTTATCGCATATAAAATCCTTTAGGGACAAGTTCTGAGACATCACAATAGTAAATATCACGCTGCAGTGCAGGTCCAAAACATGTACCATATCACCCTTGGATTCATGGAATTGAGGTAAATAAATTAAAAAATTAGAGGGGGATGTCTTATTTTGTGTCATGAATTATTGAAAATTCTTTGTAGTTGTGACATTCTTTTTGAGTGAAATCTCCATTTCCAGATTTGAGTTAGAAAGCCTTTAAGAGTTCTTTTTTTCCTCCCCACTGTTAATAATCTTAATCCTCTTTCAGTATTTTAGTGGCCTTGAACAACTGGTTTAGCTACGATGTCAAATCCTAAATGTGTAATTATGTGCAATGTTTGATACCTCATAGAACATCTGTTCAATGGTATAGTAGTATCAATGGCATCGAGATGGAATTTCTGTTCTACATATTTTTCAATAATTTATCCTTTCCAATGTTGAAGATTATATCAGGCTTTGACGTTTTTTAGTTGTTTAAATAAGTAATATTTTCAAAATAATAAAATGACCAATGATATCTCTTGGAATATTCTGTAAAATGTAGTTATAAAAGTCTATTTTCTTCATAGAGTTTTTATCTTTTTTCTCTTCTTTGTATGTTTTACAAGTCCTATATATGCATGAAATAACAAACTGTTGAAATTGTTCAATATCTAGGCTTAAATCTTTACTCTGCCGATATATATATACAACACAAAAGTTGGTTTCAATTAGACAGGACTAAATTGTTTACCATACCAAATATTAAATATCACCAGGTAACTTATAAATAAAATGTTTTCCCCATTTTCACACATTTTCCCTTAAACTTTTCTTAAAATCTTCATGTTTTTAAAAAATAGTCGAGTACAACCTCTAAGGTTAATTTCTACAATGTGAGGTTGATTCCTGAGTTTCAATAACCCAGATTTTAATTGGACCTTTTTTAAATTGGGACTTAGCTGACTTTGATTTATATTATTTCTAAGAAACTTTATATCATAAGACTGAGATTTTTGTGTCAGTGCTATTTAAAACATAACTGTGATATCTCACAAGGTTAAGATTATAACATACTTATAAATTGCATTCCATTTGTGAAAAACTTCTACAAATGCTGTTTTATTGCTTATTATGTTTAACATAATAAATTATATTAGCCCTGATAGTCTGATGAGAAAACTGAGGCTTGGAGTAGCAACAGGAACCTTGAAAATTACATAGTTGTTATCTGGGAAACAGGCACAATAACCTTAGCTTTTCAATAGAGCCTTCCTACGACAAAACTAGAAAGACATTTTGAAATGCCTCTATCTATTGCACGAGTTGGAGGTTTTCCAGATACCAGAAACAGCATCAAAACACGTGATGAAATAGGTCTACACTAATTATATTATTTTGTAAAGTCTGTGTTTCTAATGGGCATGATGTCAAACAACTGCATGGAATGTTCATCAGCAATTCACTTCAGTCAGGATAAGCAGCCTGATATTGTGACAAAACATATAGTTCATTAATTATAGTTTCCTTTTTTTGATCTTTTGGTGAACACTATTTAAATAGGACTTTAACATGGTTGATAATATGCTTTATTTTTATACATATTTCTCTGGTAAGCTCTAACTGTAGTAACAGATGGTCAGACCACAGATAAAATGGTTTCCATCTAAATCAGTGAAAATAATATTCAGTAAAATGTTATGCAGACTAAATTGTGAAAAAACAATGTTTATGCAGCTGCAGTATAGGAATTCCTGAAGAAAGTTACAATGATGTATTTAATTAAAATCCACTGGCTATTAAAATTTTAAGGAATTTTTTTTTTTCCCCCTGAGGAATTGAAGACCTAAAATAGCTCAATTATTCTCAGGATGACCAAGAGGTAACCACATATACCTCTTAAAGACATGGTAAAAGTTTATATAATGAGATATTAAGATTCCTAAACATTTTTTCCTCCCTTTACCAGAGATCATAGCTGGATTATTATCATTTGACACTGCTAATTATATAGGGCAAAATTCAATTTAATTAAACAAATATTTATAGAGCACATTTTATTTCACAAAGCACTCTGTGAAGGGAAAGGAAGGAGGAGCAGAAAAAGGCCTGGAGGAATTCACATCACAGTAAATGCAACAAACATAAATCATGAGCCAATCAGAGTGAGGGTGACATGAAAAATAATTACCTGCTATGTAAGAGAAACTAAAATTTTAGGTATAGATAATATTGTGCATTATTTTTGAACACTCGTTTTCAAAACTTATATGGTACTTGAGGATAATTCTCAATGTTTGGTATCACAGCACTTAATTGTGTTTCACAAAAATGTGTAACATTTAGAAAGTATAATAAAACCGCATGGTTTAAACTTTGTAATTGGAATATAAATTGGGATAGAATTTATCTTCAAGAAAAGCTATTTGAACAATTTAATAATATCAGTAAGGTGCAGGAAAAATGTTTAACCTACTTAAGAAAAGTAGTTCAAGTTTTCTAAAATGGGTTTAGCATACTATTTGTATATTCACAATGTGTTAATTTTAAGTTAATCATATATTCTTTAAAGCAGGTTCAACAATTCTTATCCTAGGCAATAATGTATTTGTTCAAATTAGTACATGTGAACTTTTGAGTAAAGAAATGTACTTATAAAATATTCTAAAATTTCAAATTTTAGCTATATAAAGGTAACCTTGAGTTCAATCGCTATGAATTAGTAAGGAATTATTTTATTAAAATATTTTGCTTAACGTGGTTTCTCTTCAGGAAAACGCTAACAAAAGGGAACTCTAGTAGCTTTTATTTTCAATTTTATTTTATGAAATTTTATTTCAAAGTTTAGAAAAGTTTTTAGAGTCTTTATTAAAAATAAGCAGTTGGTGAAAAATATATGTTCTAATTTTAAGTATACTGTTTATGTATAAGAATATGCATTATATTTTTTAAATAAGTTTTTCACCAAAGGTCCTATTAGTAGACAGTATGATTTTATTCAGATTTTGAACACATAGCACATTAAGGAACTTTACTTCAAATATTAAGTACTTTAAGGATAGTACACTGAAAATGTCTCTTTTTTAATTCCCAGTTCATGTACTAATGCACTAAGAAAAAAGAAAAATAATGACCAGTTCTTCATTTTTATCTGAATTAATTTTTTGTGTGCTGTATTAATGTTAAATGAGATAAAATATAGGAAACGAATGAACCTTTGAGCATCTACTAAATGTCAGGCATTTTTTTAAATTCTTTTTAAAGATTTTATTTATTATTTGACAGACAGAGATCACAAGTAGGCAGAAAGGCAGGCAGAGAGAGAGGGAGAAACAAGCTCCCTGCCGAGCAGAGAGTCCGATGCAGGGCTGGATCCCAGGACCCTGAGATCATGCCCTGAGCTGAGGGCAGAAGCTTAACCCACTGAACCACCCAGGTGCCCCTAAATGTCAGGCATTTTATAGACATCATCTCATTTAATAACTGAAACACCATCAGTTTCAATTTATCAACGGGGAGACTGAGGTTAAGAGTTGGGATCAGTTTACATGACTGATGGTAGGTATTAGCTGGGATTCAAAACGGTGCAAAACAAGACTTATGGGGCTCAAGTCAGTCATCAATCTGCCTCCCATATGCCCAGAAGCATAATGATTATCTGTACAGACCAGTCTCTATAGAGGACTTGAATACTTAGCTTACTTTTTCATTGTCACTGACTTGTTTGAGAAAAAATTGCTAGTTAGTGCTTTTTGGTTTGACACTCAGTTCTTAACAGTTACTTCACATGGCCTATTGACAGTTTTCATCCAAATGTTTTATGTTAGTGTGTTGTGTAGTGGGTTTTAAGCTACAACAGATAATGAACAGATACGCCAGACAATCAACCTTGAAAAATAAGTAAAAAGAGAGGATGGATTACAAAACTCTTCACCAGTGGACCAAAAGATAGGTTAAACTTCTGTCCTACGTGCAGAGGAGATCTATTCATGTAGCCAGAACTTTCCTTTTGTTTAGCCATGAGGTCAGAGAGCTCTTCCTTTCTGCTTGGAGCTGTATAGATGGACTGCTGCTGCTGAATTTACTCGAAGTTACCTTTTCCATTGGCCTGCTGTACGTAGTGAATGAGGTTTAAGATAACTGCTTTGACCTAGCTTGGCGCAGGTCAACTTACTTCTAATCGCACACATTTTTACTATGTCATGTAAGTAAATGAGAGAGTGAAATGTTTTATAGCAAATATTATCGTAAAGCACATCTGCCTTGAATGTGCAGTGGATTTATCAGACTTTTAAACTTGGAAGCAAGTTAATCATTAAGTTGCTATTGTTTTAACCCCTCCTAGGTTCACAATATTACTACGCTTGTTCTTGGACAGTATCCTGTTCCCACCTTCATATACTCTAGGACCTACTGGGTGAGAACATTTGCTACTAATTTTGCGTTATTCGGTTTTATTTAAAATAGGTTTCTTATCCATCACTTCTCAAGCATGTAACATTTTTCAAGTGAATTTCTCCTCAAAAGTTGTTTCTACCTTTTGAACTATGGTATAATAGTAATCTCACATTACCTTTTTAAATGCTCCCTGTACCTTGTCACATATGAATATACTTGCCATTTTCCTTTGCTATATTTTGGTCCCTTTATGTTTTGATAGTCTTTGAAGACAAATTCACACTATAAAATAAAACACATTAGTTCTGTGAAGCTTATGCACTCTCCAGTTACTTGGGGTGAGATGA